AAAGGGGGGGGCTGTAGGACTCGACCAAAATCCCCAACCAATGATGTACCCTGGTCCGCATCGATCAGGACTGTAACTCGCTGCGCTGATGGGCGTGGCCAACTATGTCACCTGCCGCATGTGGTAACAACATCGAAGCCCTATATACTATGTTCTAATGTCGACCGTTTCTCTTCAGTAGCGTACGTAAACAGGAGAGATCATGAGCTAAGGAAGTAAGATCTCATAATTGTTGTTGTAAGACAACCTACTCGAAGCGACGAACCCATTACCACAGGCCGCGCGCGACGGTGCGGCAGATTGCGATTGTCTTGGCCGTCTCCTTACAACACGTTGGTCCATTCGGTGCGATAGTTCACTGAACTATGGCAATCACAACGTTGTACAGGAAGTTTTTAAGTTGTGAGCTTCGTTTTCATGTTGCTTCTTCAACTTCTTTTGAGTGTTAAACGGCACCTTGCTGTCAGGTGAAGGAAGAAAATACGGTGAGTCAGAGGATTTGGCTTTCTGCCAAGCCCACAAGAGGAGTAGTTACGCACCTTTTTCTTCTTGATCACAGCCTATATCGACCGTCTCCTTAAAATTTGCTACCGTATCCCTAGCTATCGCGCGCATGGTGCAGGGATCGAATCGTGGATCGACTCTCGCTCTTGTCAACCAAGTCCAGATTCGTCTGCGCAATAAAAACACTAGTTTGTATATTGGCTGGCCCCCACAAGTCACTGTATAAACCGCACCGCTTCAATAAGCCACTATGGTCCTGAACTGAACTGCCACCTCCCAAAAGGGATTAATTAACGGCGAAGACGGCGCAGTTTGGCAATGGGGGGGGGGGGCATTTTGCACTTTCACTGCTTCCGGTTTACAAGTCTCACTCTGGTGAAACTTGTGAACTCTTGTGAAGCTGGAGCAAGCTCGTCTAGCCACCATGGTAAACGTGTCAACTCAAGAAAAGGCTGTCTAGATGGATCGACACATCGATGGGAAGGAAACTGCGCCGGCGAAGACCTTATTCTTTCATTTCTAGTCAGTGTGTGCGATCTTTGAGTAGGGGAAACCCATTTGGAAATGGAATGTATGAAACAAAGCGTGAGGAAGGACGACAGCGCCGTCCATTCGTCGTGCAGCGATTAGCGCTAGGTCAAGAATTGGACGAGTTGCAGGGGTCACCACTGCTTGCCCGCAAGACGACACCACTTTTCCATCATCGTTCGCTTTTTAATGCCACATTAGTTCTCCCTCTTTTCAGTGTTTGAAGTAAAACAATTATGTTTGCAAAAAGGTTTTCTCCTACGTGGGTATGTGTAGATGTAATGATATAGATAGGTTTTCCATTGCGATTTTGAGCACAGAATTTTCTTATGGTTTCACAAGGATTGCCTTCACTCTTTCTATCAGTTTATTAGCGTTTTGGATATCTTCTGCTGGCCTTTTCATCTTCGCTATAATTCCACTTCACTGACACTTCACTGCTCTGCAACGTTCTAACGATAAGGTTTAATCCTTTTGCTGAACTTGTTCAGTCAGCAATTGTTCAGTGCTCGTTGAAAAATCATTCTACCGATCTT